CCTTTTTCCGATACATGCGGCAGCAGTGTATCAAGCAAGAGCTGATCTGCAAGTGGATCGACCCCGAGCAGCTGAACAACCCCAAAAAAAGTTGCAATAAAACTTTCAGCACCATGCACGAGTTGGTCACCCACGTCTCGGTGGAACATGTTGGGGGACCCGAGCAGAGCAACCATGTCTGCTACTGGGAGGAGTGTCCCCGGGAAGGCAAGCCCTTCAAAGCGAAATACAAACTGGTCAATCATATCCGAGTGCACACGGGAGAGAAGCCCTTCCCCTGCCCCTTCCCCGGCTGCGGGAAAGTTTTCGCCAGATCGGAAAACCTCAAAATCCACAAGCGGACGCACACAGGTAAATCGGTTTTCTTTCGGCAGGCTTGGGCAACTGTTATGTACGCGGGTGTGCATGTGCGGGTCGAGAGAGAGAGAAGGAGAAGGAGAGATGCGAAATGATGGAAGTCGTAGAATGAGAGTCGCCTGTAAATTTGTTTCCGAGTGCGAAGCCGCCCGGTTTCATCACACGGCCGTGTTTGTTTGGGTTTCTCCTCCCACCCCTCATACCCCCCGATTCCGACAGGACATTTTTCTAATTTCTTTTAATGGGCGGAATGAGCAGTGCAGAAGCCTACCGAGGCTCGAATGAACTCTCTCCATAGCGAGGCAATATTAAAGGCGAAATAAATTCTGCGGTAGTGTGGAAACACGGAAGGGTACAGGCGTACCTAAAATACACTATACGTATGCAATGCACAGCGTATTTTCACGTAACTTCAGTGCGTGTGTGCATGGATTTCGTATATGTACACTGAGAGAGGGAGAGAGAGAGAAAAACGATACAAATGCATAGAAAAGCCTCCGTTCGCCCAAGATCTCGTAGGAAGTGCCAAAATGTCCCTTTCTGGGAATGCTTTCCATTAAATTTAAATGGTGTGAGCAAGGCAATAAAATTTTCTCATTTAAAAAAGTGTTTTTAAAGTCTCACTTGAGGTGATTTAAGGTGGTTTTGCAACAGTTTATTAAATTATGTAATAGGTAACAGAGGATTTGAGGTTCAGAAACTTGCACCAAAATCAGGTGAAATGTGGGAAAAGGACCCAAAGCTTCCTGATGGAAAATCGCGTGAGCTGAGCAGTAACAAAATAAACGCATCCTCCTGCTTCATATATTATTCATTTACTACTACTCCCAGCCAGAATTGTGCCAGACTATTTCATAAAAGACAGGCAAATATTTTAGCAACTTCGACTATAAATATTTACTCGGATAAGGGTAAAATCTAGAGGCCTATTGTTTTCCTAAGTGCTAAGCACGATGCTAGGTGCGAGACGAGCTTTAACAAGGTTTAAAATTTGAGAAATGTATTTGCATGAGATGCCCGCACTTAAGTCATTGTGTCGGAGCGGATGTCTTTAAGAAACAATTTAGGTGCTAATGGAATTTAATGTTAAATGGTTCCCCCTCCAAATGGGGGGATGTGGAGTTCTCACGTCCAAATTACTCTGCAGCATTTGGAGTTCTGGCAGCCGGGTGAGGAATCCGTATGAAAATTAAATGAAGTATTTTACAGACGTTTAGTTTTCCCAGCGGATGTGTGTTTATCTCGAATATCCATACTTGAAACAATCTGCCTAGCCTTAAATCTGTTGTTAATGGTTTACAGTTTAACAGGATATTGGTACCGAGGCAAAACATCTCGACTCTTTTTGTCCTCCTTTTATTTTGTTCTCTTTTACAGACGTTTAGTTTTCCCAGCGGATGTGTGTTTATCTCGAATATCCATACTTGAAACAATCTGCCTAGCCTTAAATCTGTTGTTAATGGTTTACAGTTTAACAGGATATTGGTACCGAGGCAAAACATCTCGACTCTTTTTGTCCTCCTTTTATTTTGTTCTCTTTTTTTTTTTTTCTTAATGGTTGTTGAAGCTGAGAGTGTGTCAGCACCAGTTGAAACAAAACAAAATGCTCTAAATACCCTGGCCTCTATGCTGCCATCGGCGCACAAGCAGCAGTGCTTTCCGCGGGCTGCCCCGCTCGGCACGGCGGGGCCCGGCGCTATTTGGGGGCCGCGGCCCGTGTGAAAACGCCGGTTCCGCCCCGCTGCCGAAGAGGGCACCGGATGGGGGGGGTGAGGGCAGACACCCG